AGAAGCCCTGAACCGTTTTCAAAGTTCATTTTTCGAGAAAATCACACGTTCGAACATTTTGGGGGGTTTTGCCGAACACTTTTTTTGAAATCGCGAGTTTTTGGGCTTTAAGCGGGCATAACTCACTTCATTTTCATTTCTGTGATGCACTTTTTTCATGGGGTGAAAGTACAGGATTTGCTCTTTCTAACAAGCACCAAACCGTTTTTCAAAGTTCATTTTTCGAGAAAATCACACGTTCGAACATTTTGTTCCCATAGGTTTTTGAGCAGCACATGCGAGTTTTTGAGCTTTCAGCAATAATAACTTCCTTCAAAGAAGCTTGTTGGGAGGGGCGAAGACATTTTTGAAGACTACGAGATTTCTGCTTTCTTATGTGTTTACCGTTGTCTGGAAGAATCGTCCTCAGAAAATTAGGTCCCGAAGAACTTTAATTTCAGCCCCGAGAAGTCAAACCTTTCATAGGGATGCATTCAACTGTTCTTTATTCCTCAAGGAAAACACCGTAATTTGCCCTGTCTCTCTGTGCATAATTAATCGAATCTAATGCGGTCTGCACAAGCAAGTCTTGCCCTCGGATACGCCACGCACGCGCCTGTGGCTGGCAGTCCTCGAAATTGCGACCCCCTTCCGACCAAAATGCGACCCCTTCGTTCGAACAGTTCGAACGGACGGTTGACCCTGGTCCCGACCTCTTCAAAGATGACCTTACAGTCTTATTTGGAGCGGTATCGGGTCGCCTACTAGTAGAACTGTGTTCGCGGATAGAAACAGTCGACGATGGTCCAGGCTGCAACCGCTCCCGTCACAGCCTAGATCTCCACCACAACCCGTTTTGTTAATTCAGTGCGCTTGTGGAACTACTGGGAAGTTGGCGTACTGGCTTCTACCCTTGAATAGGTAATCTTGGGCGTATTTCAGGTTCTTTGCCATTGACCAAATTAGCCCAGTGGATAGGAAGCCAGTTGCAGTGTAAGGTTAATGTGGCGCACAGTTATTTTCAATCACTTACAAAAAGTACGTAAAAATAAGCAAGAAAATGGTGTGTACATAACAGATGGTCAAATTGGGTTGGCCTGGAGTCAGATTTAGTTTGCGAAGTATGACTTTAAATGTCGCTTTCCTCGGACCAAGCAGGCACAACTGTGGCCAAATACGTGTTCATATGTTACCACGAATTCGATTAAGGCCGAGTGCGTAGCGCATCCAAAAACGGGACGGGCGAACATCAAAGACTTTTCTTTTTCCTCCTTCTTGTCGGGAACCCATACAATTCAATGTCAGTGCGAGGGTTAATATGTATTAAGAGAACTTTCGTGTTCTATTAAGCCTAATTTCAAATTTTCATGGTAGCTCGAATAGGAAATGTGAAGATAGCGATGAGAACCAATAAAATCAATCAATGCTTTTGAAATTACGGACCGTCTAGGCTAAGCGTTGCAATAGTTGTTCCTGCCGGTGCCGTGTCTGCTATCGTCACTTCAACCTCGTCGTCATCAAAATAATTCCATTTCTTACTGTCACTTGTCAGCCTAAATATGGTCGATAATGAGTATACGGTAGATTTTCAATAAGGCAAGTGTCAGACTTTGCGACTAATCGCGGCGAATTACGCGATTCGCTAGCGATTCGAGCATTCGAACCAAACGCCAGCGATTTCAGCAATGCACCAGCGAGTGAATGGGTAACGCGTCGCTGACATCGCTCGCACCCTCCAGATATTTGTAATCGCGCGACTTGCTGGCGATTCTTCGCAAAGTCTGACACCTGCCTGACGACTCTAGTCATTACCGTATTGTAAGGGTCTGATCGACAAAAAGTGACGGTGTTCCCTCGTCGCTGGCACGAACAACTATGGTGGAATCACTGGATGGAGGACGTCGCAGCATCGATAGTGCACCTAAAGAAAACACATATTTGTCGGGAAAATCCCCTCGAATTTCACTGAACCCTCCAGCTTACCAGTCTTGTGGTCGATACCGAAGCAATCGGTGGGATCGGAGATCAGGTCGTAAGAAATGGCAGCGTTTGGGCCAGAATCGTCATCGGTGGCGACCACGTAATGGATAACCCGGTTTGATGGCTCCGTGAACACCAGCACCTCAGCACCACTGCAAAAGATCAGAATTTCTCTGCTTTTCACTAGTTAAGGGGATGAAGCAAGCATTTTT